TTTCCTCACCCAAACAATGGCAACAACAACATCCCGACAAGGGAATCAACAATAAGAATAAATACGTCCCGGCAAGGGAATCAGCTATAACCAAACTTGTACCAACAATTAACTTTACAAATGAACCTCAATTGGAGCCAATGCTAAACAATAAACAAATACCAAGAAGATAATCATAAGTCTTACTCAACATGGATATTCGACAATTTAGGCATTTGTAGTACTTATTAAGGATCACAAAAATCACAATTTAAGACTCACGGGCATACTTGACACCAACGTATAGGTACTTGTCACCACACTAGTACGCCGTACACTACACTAGCACATAGCAAACAAGGCACAACATCTATTCCCTCAAGCTAAGGTTAGACCAAACACTTACCTCGATTCCACGGCCAGAAATCAAGCCTCAACTATCGCTTTCCCTCTAGAATTCACCTCCAGTTCACTTGTATCTAGTCACAATTAGTTTAATAATATCAATAAGTGCTAAAGAACTCACACCCAATGCTTAATTATAGTTTTCCCAATATTTTTCCCAAAAACCCAAAAATGGACCTCGGGCCTGCTTGGTCAAAACTCGAGGTTCGGACCAAAACCCGATTACCTATTCACCCCTGAGCCCGGATATGCAATTGGTTTTGGAATCCGACCTCAATTGAGGTCTAAATCCCTAAATTTCGAAATTCCCAATTTTCACCCAAAACACCCAAATTCCCATGAAAATCCCTAGATTTTGTGATGAAATCTTGTAAAAATATGAAGTAGATTGAAAGAAATGAGTTAAATGTTGTTTACCTATGATTTGGGGAAGAACCTTTCTTTGGAAAATTGCCCAGGAGAGCTTAGGGTTTGAAAGAGTTTGAAGAATGAAGAAAATTCCATCTAAGTTAGATTTTACCAGGCACAGTTATCGCATTTGCGATGACAGGTTTGCAAATGCGAACTCGCAAATGCGGCCCAGGCTTCGCAAATGCGAAGGTAAGCCTACCTAGTTCACTTCGCAAATGCGAACCATCGTCCACAATTGTGATTACTGTTGGAGTCGCATTTGCGACATAGAGCTTCGCAAATGCGAAGGTTCCCTCCCCATCCCAGTTATTGCAAATGCGATGTTTCTTTGCAAATGCGAGCTTGCATTTGCAATCCAGGCTTCGTAATTGCGAAACCTGCAGACATGCAACACACCAACTACTGTTCCTAAGTTCAAAACACTTTGCGGTCTATCCAAAACTCACCTGAGTCCTCGGGGCTCCAAACCAAACATGCACGCAAGTCCAAAAATATCATACGGACTTGCTCGTGCGATCAAATCATCAAACTAACATCAATAACCAGGAATTTAGCCTCAAAATCAATGAAATTCCCAAGACCACCTAAAGTCACTATTTTCACAACCGAGGATCCGATTCATATCAAATTAAGTTCGTTACCTACCAAATTTCACAGATTAGACTTAAACATTATTTTAGACATGTAACGGGCTCCGAAACTAACATACAGGCCCGATACCATCACATGTAAGCATTATTCAATTTCCAAACTTCCTATATTTTTCAGTTAAACAATTTCCTTCAAAAATTTATTTCTCGGGTTAGGGACCTCGGAATTCAATTTCGGGCATACGTCCAAGTTCCATATTTTTCTACAAACACTTCGGGACCGTCAAATCACGGGTTCGGGTCCGTTTACCCAAAATATTGACCGAAGTCAACTTAATTCAATTTTAAAGGCAAAATTTAGAATTTTCTCAATTTTTCACATATAGACTTTCTGGAAACGCGCCCGGACTATGCACGCAAATCGAGGAGAAGGAAAATGAGGTCTTGAAGGACTTAGAACCCTAGATTGGGTTCTAAAACACGAGATCTCAGTTTACATCATAGTTAGTTTAGCAAAATAATTATTGAGTGCCTCCACTTAATAGCTAAACTATTGTTTACGAGAACAAAGTTATCTATATCAGTTTGATATGCATTATATACTAAAGTATATTATATTCTCCCCTCACAAGTGGTTCAAGGTCAGGAACCAAATAATTTCATCTTATTATTAATGATGTGTTGTGTATATTTTTATTAACACCGTAATGAACAAAGATGGGTTCCCAAAATTGAGGGAAAAAGTTAGTTTTTCTAACATGAGGGGGAGACAAGATAAACAATTGAGAAAAAGTTACGTGGAATGAATTATCGTGTGTACATCTAGATCCTCGAATAAGATAATATGAACTTAAAGTTTATAAAAGGATAATTCATTTGCAATATATTGCAAAGCATGTAAGACGCATTTGCTGACCCAAACAAAGTAACTATATTCTCATTGCAAATGTTCATATTAAGTCCTAGAAGGACAAATTCTATGGTAAGATTAAAACGTATAGACACAGTTTCAAATAAACTTCTTGATAATTAAGATTATCAAAATGATCATAATAAAGGAGGCAAGTGATCTATAAGATCACATGATATAACACTTCATAAAATCTCAAGAGAGATTCAGGTACCTGAAAATATGAATGAAGAGATCTCTATGTCATGTCTTTATGAAAAAATATTGGAATCGATATAAAATGTTCGTCGACTATATCTATGATAGCGCTAAATATATATGAGGATCTTAAGTCTAAAGAAACAATTCAAGTAGAATTTGGTTTCATAGTTTTAGACATATAGTTCAAACACTCGAAAGTATAAAGTCAATAGATGTGTGCAATCACTTTCATGTATTTTATATGTCGACATGACATGAAAACTTGATATGCATCTAAAGTCTACTATATGACTTATATGACTATACTTATATGATAATCCCTGAAGGATTTAAATTGCTTGAAGCATATACAATTCTTGATCTTGAAGTACCACATCCTTAGTGCAATTTGTTCACAAATGTATCTTGCTATAACTATAAGCATGATAATATGATAGCAAGAGTTTTTACCGCTATGTGAAGATATTGAAATGACGATTCCAACAAGATCATATGAAGACAATGCATCTATCAAGAATGATGATTTGAAAGTGCAACATATTCATTCAAGTTAATATGGCTGATTTATTTATCAAGTCTCTACCAACGATCTTTTGAAGATGATGCACATGATTGGAATGTGAAGGTTCAAGGATGTGAATTAATGCTCTCATGAGGGGGAGTTAATACGTGTTGTACTTTTTTTCCTTACAAGATTTTGTCCCACTGATTTTCCTTGCAAAGTTTTTAATGAGACAACCAAAAGGCGTATTGTTAGATATATGTACTCTTTTTCCTTCTCTAAAATTTTTTTCCCACTGGGTTTTATTTTAGTTAAAGTTTTAACGAGACACATTATCTGTTGAATAGACATTCAAGGGGGAGTATTATAAATAGAGTTTTATTTAAGGTGAATGTCTATATTTTAGAGAGATTGTAGGGATTTTACTTGGTGACTAAGTCATTCTTTCCCTATAAATAGAGGGGTCATATTCCGTTGTAAATCATTCCAAATCAATAAGAATTCTCTCTCTACTTTTCTCTGTAATAATCTTCTTCTTCTTTTATTATTTTATAACATATTTTCAGTTACAAAAAAGATTCTCAACCGAAAAACACCCCAAAAATATAGCAATCTTCAGAGAAAATATGCTGAATATTTTTCCCAACCAATAAATACAACAAAAACAGAGCAATTTGAATTCATATATACATATGAATACATAAATTATATTATTAAAAAATATATGAATACATTCATGGAATACAACGAGACAATGAATACAATGAAATACATGGAATACAGCGAGATACATTGAAATACAATTAAAAAAAGACAATGAATACAATGAAATACATGAAAATACAGCGAGATACATTAACATACATTGAAATATATTAACAGAAAATTCAAGTTGCTCAGCCCCAAACTCCGTCGTCTTCGTTCAAGAACAATCCTAATGTCATCTCGTCGAGAGGGCCGCGATTCTGACTCGAAACGCCACTGTTCCTGTTACCATAAAACTCTCACATGCGCTTCAAAAAACCTATTCTTTACAATTTATATTAAATTATATTCTGGCTCTTTTAGCTTCTATTTAAAAATAAATAAATTAGAATTCACTCGTTTTGAAACTTCTAAATAGATAAATATTACAACTTTCCTTACTTATAAAGTAGTTCTCTTGGAATTGTAGCATGCGACGGAGTTTTTCATTGATGTCCAAAGTTTGTGCAACTTGAATTTGAGATCTTAGGAGGCTTGACGAAGTTCAAGAAAATTCAAGTTGCTCTGCGGCGGAGGTGAGGTTGAAGCAGTATCAGTAATTCTTCGCCGGAAAACTTTAATTCTGAAGCAGAGTCTTCAGTAGTGGTGAGGTTGAAGCAGAGTCTTTGCAGGAAAACTCTAATTCTGATGCTTTGCCGGAGAGTTCTGGTAATAAAATGAAGGTGGAAGATGAGAGAGAGAGAGGGAGAGAATAGATAGAGGGCAGGGGATACGAGAAATTTGAGGGAATAGGAGAAATTTGAGTGGAGAGAGAAAAATAATACAAAGCTTATTTTATGGCTTAAGGGTAGGAGGTGACCATAAATAGATATTTGGCTATAAAAAATCAAAAGGTAGCTATGAAATATAATTTTTTAAAAGGGTATTTATTTAAAATAAATAAGGTATCAACCTTTGCTATAGGAGGTAACTATTTATGTGAACTTGTTTGACTGGACACAGAGTTTAAGAAAAATGGAAGAGTTTTGGAGTTTGTGGTCCTAAACAAGTCAAAAAAGAGCCCAACGTATTTGTGTGGTTATAAAAGCATATTGAAATTTTAAGCTAAATTGTTTCTAAATTTAGAAAGGTATTATTCTTTTTGGAACAGCCCAAAAAGTAAATAAATTCACATAAACTGAAACAGAGAGAGTATTTAACAGCAAAACATATACAATACAGTACATTACAGTACAACCATACAAAACATTGAGTTAGCTACAAGTTTGCTAGCACTTCGAGAGTCTCTATNGGTTGATAACTACTCTGGATCTGTTTTTGACCCATATATTTTTTGCTAATTTTAGCTGTTTAAACCTACTTAAACGAGGAAAAGAATTCTAGGTCACAGTGTTCTTGGCGTTTCATCTCATGTTTTGACTACTTAATTTTATTCCAATGACTCATTTGGTGAGTTCCCATATATCAGTTTCTCCACTGCCCTTTTGAGATTTTATATATGTTGAATTTCATAGCTGCTTGTGATTTGAATTCTGCTCTAATCTTCGGCATCTAATGTCTCTTTTGTTAGTTAGTATTTGCATGTCAATGAGGTTTTTATCTGCAAAGGCGCATCCAGGATTTGAACATTATGGGTTCGAGTTTAGAATTCTACTGCAACTCATTCAATTTACTGAGTTCAAAATCTACTATTTTGTACTTGTTTAGTGAATTTTTTAACCCATAAACAAGGTCCGAGCCAATAGAGGCGGATCCGGGATTTAAAATATATGGTTTCAGCTTTTAATATTTTTTGGCATTGAACCCGTTATATTTTTATAGTTAGGGTTTATATCTATTATGTGTTGCACTTTTGGGGCATTTTTACGCATAAATTTATGCTCCGTCGAAAGTACTTAGTTCAAATAAACCCGATACTCAAATGTTGCTTCCGCCCCTGCGAGCCGAAGCTACTAGGTTCAGATGAACCTATTAGTCTTTAACTACATCTACCCTTGGCTATAGGATATTATTACTCTTTAATTAGCAGTTTATGTCTTTCAGCGAGTCTTCAGTTTACAAATGCAGAACATATGTACTAGATGTAGGGACTGGGGAGGGACTGAGGCTTCTGTGGTTTTGTCATCAGCAATTTAGATTTGGTTTCAGGAATCTTGAATTATTGGGCTAAAGACCTTGGTTCCCTTGCTCTACAGATCTTTCCACTTTTCCAGGGTGAAATGCCCTTCTTTTGAAATTTGCTTTCACATCTTTTAGTGCTTAGGAATGGGAATTTGATTCTCTCGCATTCATGGTTGAATGTGGCAAGATTGATGTTAAAGGTTGTGCTTTTGGGCTTTGAGTTGGGTATTATCATATTTGACTTCATATGTTATCTTACAGTCTTACAATTGCAGATTCAGTCAGTATTTGGTCAGTAGAATATTGAATCAACACAACATCTGAATGTAACCATTTCGGATTTCCTTTTAGACATGAATCTGTGCCTCTTATCCCCAATCAACTTGTCTGTAAGCAGTTTTGGCTTATTATTGCAAAAATGTTTGAAAGCTAAGTTGCTGGAACCGTGCAAGCAAATTCATGCACTCATGTTAACATCGCACATAGACATGAATGCTTTGTCACTGAATTCAAAGCTCATTGGTGCCTATGCAAGTTGTGGGGATCTTGATGCAGCTGATCTTGTGTTTGAAAGAACCAGAAACCTGAATATTTTTGCATTTAATTGGATGATTTCAGCTTTTGCATTTCATGGCTACCCTGAGAAATCCATTGGTTACTTCTCTCTTCTTCAACAATCAAGAATTATTCCGAACAAGTACACATTTACTATTGTGTTGAAAGCATGTGTTGGTCTAATGGATCTGAACAAAGGAAAGCAAGTGCACAGTATGATATATAGAATGGGATTTGAGTCAGAGTTATCGGTTGCCAATGCCTTGATTGATATGTATGGTAAATGTGGCAATACAGAATATGCTCGTTTAGTTTTTAATGTAATGGTTGAGAGAGATATTGTATCCTGGACATCAATGATACATTCATATGCTAACACGGGGAAAATAGAAGAATCCTTTATTTTGTTTGAAAAGATGAGATTAGAAGGCATAAGGCCTAATGATTTTACATGGAACATAATGATCGCTGGATATGCTAGGAAAGGAGATTGTGACACAGCTTTCATGTTATTGTCTAAAATGAATAAAGAGGGGTTGACTCCAGATTTGGTTACTTGGAATGCCATGATTTCGGGGTTCGTTCAAAGCCACAGATCGACTGAAGCATTAGCCTTAGTTCAGGACATGTTGGATGCAGGAGTTAAGCCCAATGAAGTCACTCTCACTGGGCTTCTTCCTCTGTGTGGGTTGATTGACTCTCTTTCTAGGGGGAAAGAAATTCATGGCTTAGTATATAGATTAGAGTTTTTTGCTAATGTCTTTGTTTCTAGTGCTCTCATTGACATGTACAGTCGATGTGGTAGCGTGGAAGAGGCTTGGAATGTTTTCAGTTCCGTTACTTTCAAGAATATTGCATCATGGAATGCTATGATAGGATGTTATGGAAAGCATGGCAGAGTAGAACATGCAATCAAACTTTTTGAGAAGATGCAGTATGAAGGAGTGCTGCCAAATGAAGTAACATTAACTTCTCTTCTTTCTGCATGTAGTCATGCTGGTTTAGTTGAGAGAGGTTTGAAGATCTTTTGGTCCATAGAGGAGTCTTATGGCGTTAGAGCAAGGAAAGAGCATTATGCTTGTGTTATTGATCTTTTGTGTCGTGTTGGGAGGCTGGAAGAGGCTTACAATATAATCAAAGATATGCCAACAGAAATTACAGATTCAATTATTGGGGCTTTCTTCAGTGGTTGTAAGGTCTACACAAGGAGAGATCTTGCTGAAAAGATGACTAAGGATATATTGCACATGGATCTGAAGAAGCCTGAAGGTCTTGTAGCTCTCTCAAATATTTATGCTGCTGAAGGAGAGTGGGAGAATGTTGAGAATGTGAGGAGCATGATGAAGGGCAAGGGATTAAATAAGATGCCTGGTTCCAGTCGGTTGTAGAGAATAAGATGATATGCGGAACTAGATCTAGGAACGTGAAGCAAAATTTGATTTTAAACCATTAGATAACGGTAAGAACATATAAGATATACATGCTTTGCTGTTTGCAGTAGTGTCTGATTTGTTGCCTTTAATGTCGCTTAAAGTTGAAAATGATTATTCAAGGTCTCACATCCTTTTCTGAAGAACCTATGTATAGGGAATGAGGAACATGGTTTCCATGATATAATATACTTTTGCACTCAGCTAAATGCTCTAAGCTCTCTGTTATGTGGCTTTACCCTTTCAGAAGTTGGAAATTTTGCTTATTTGTTAAGTAGCGTATGCTGCATTGAAAGAGTACATATCTGCGAATATTTCATTCATGCCCAAATAAAACAAAGAACTATCATTTAAAAAACAAGTGGGATTCATGCAGTCTTACTTGAATTTCTTCCTTATTCGGTGCTCCTTTGCTCATACTGGCTGGAAAAAATTCTTTATACTCTTTCACCTTGAAGTAGCCTTTTAATTTGGTCAAGTTATTTTGTGATTTTACTCTATGAGGTCCATCTTTCAGGTTTGAGGTTTAGTTGATTGGTTAACTCTGTGAAGTCCACTATTCAGTAATCTAGTATAGTACTGATCGGTAGTGTTATTTGTGTTCTTTTTCTTTTTTTTCTTGGATGCTATGTTGCAATCATATCCTCAGAACTAGCTGTACCGTGTTTTTCAGTGTATTCTAGAAGCTGGGGCATAGATGGAGCATTACTAATTTTGGTTAGAGCCAAACTGATTAGAGCTCTTAACAAAATTAATCAGGCTCTAAATACTTCTGTGCAAACTCCAACTAACAGTCTTAACGTTTCGTTGTTTTCTCTCAATCTTGTCCTAGTATCTGTTTTGGGATCTGAATCATTTCATACGTTTCTCATTCTTGATCAGCAAGTCTTGTGACCAAGAGATTTATTTTAAGAAGTATGATGTGAAACAACTTTCATCTCTCTTTTTTTAATAAATGTAATGCTATGCTGGGATGGAAAGGGTCGTGATACTCAATATTGTTTCGCTTAAACTATGTTATTTCTTAAAAAGGATAAGAGTCGGAAGAGAATATAATTGGATTACCTTATCTAGGTGATGTATTGATACCTGCATGCAGTTGTTTACTACAATTCAAATGGAAGTAAAACTGTTATCCTTTCTCCTCTCCATCAATGAAAAATCTGAAGGACTTTTTCTGTTCCTCTTTCACTTCCTTATAAAGTGAGGGTAATGATTTGTACATTCCCCCTCTTACTTCTGCTCGTGCACCACTTCCTCCTTTCACCCCAATCAAGCTTTGCTTTAGTCGTAATGTGAAGCTGTTTGTGCATAGACATTACATCTTTAACTTGGAATGTGCAGTAGAACTGAGTCTATTTCTACACAATGTTATTACCTTTAGTATTGCTTATATAGTTGCTTAAACTTATGCAACAATTAAGAGCCCTGCAAATTTTACTTGCCTACTTCTAAAGCCTTCCGCAGTATTTATGTCACCTCTTGAGAGTAACTATAGTTGATCATTTCACATAGGGCACTTAGCTATTCTTTCAGACTGATACTGGCGGAGGCGGCAGGATAGCTGAAGTATACTGACTGAAGCTAGACATAGTTGGGAGTACATATCTGTATGCATCATCTTCTGAATTAGGTTGTCCACATATCAAAATCTGTTTTTCTTTGTTCCAAAGTTGGTTTCTGGTTTATGTGGAGTAGTACAGAAAAGAGTGGACAGTGTGTTTCCGTACTGAAAAGTGTAGGAACGGGAGGGTAATTCCAACTTGGGGTATTTATTGATCATGTAGCAATTTCTTCAAACTTTGCCTCAAACAATCAGAGTTAACTGGGAATGGAGGTCTTGACTTCCTGTCATTGTCGCGTAATTTAAGTCCTCGGGGTTATCTTTCTGTAGGGGTAGCTTTTGCCTCTTGTTTTTGACAGCCAGTTCTCCTCCCATGCATCTAATCCCTGAAAAAAAACAGAAGGAAAAAAGAGAGATTGTATTTACTTGATTGTTGCGTATCCAGGATTATTAAGTGTTGTGTGCACTTTTCTACTGATAACTTGGATATCCTTCTGTAAAGTTTTTCTTTTTGAATCTTCCATTGGAAAATATAGTTGATTCATGTCTCCTGTTTTATTTTATTTAGCAGGGGTGTTTGCTGCTAGTTTGTTAAGCCCTGGGGTTATCAAGGCAATGGGTCGAGGAAGAGGAAAGGGTAAGAAGTTGAGTGTAATTGACCCCAATGATCCAGGAAGTGATGAGGAAGAGAAAATCCCTACTCAGAGAGGAAGGCCACAAAAATCACTCAAAGATGACATTGAGGAAGAAGCAACTGAGATGATCGAAGAGGAAGATTCTGAGAATGAAAAAAATGGAATTCCAAACTTGGAGATTAAAAATTCTGCTACGGGAAATGGGAAGAAGAGGAATCAGAATACTCGGATGAAAGAAAAGCATGATTCAGTTAAAGAAGAAAACGATAATGGAACAAGATCAAGCAACGCTGAATCTACTAGGTCAAATAATGGTTTCCGCCATAGGCGGAAAAACAAGCCTCGCCGTGCTGCAGAAGCTGGTGTTGAGTGCAACTGACATTTTGGCTGTGTATTATGTGGACTTAGTTCTTTTGTGATGGCAGATAGATCCTTTTACACTGTAAATCACGCCTTAGTTTCTATGTTCCTTTCTGTATGCTCATTTTGGCACTTTAGTACATTGATCTTTCTGAACCTTTTTGGAAAGGTCTTGAGCTGGTAATACTGTTTATGATTTTCAATGCTGCTAATATTGTATCTTGAGCATTTCTACTTGAGATCTCCAAGCTAAAACTAATGGTCATTGCTAGTTCATGTGCAGAGCATATGTCATTTCCTATGCAATTTGTTGTTTGTCTGGCTTTAGATCTGATTTTCCCCATTGTTGCGTTTGATCGTTTTCTTGTCCCGTGACAGGTGAATTCAATCAAGTGAAGCATAGCTCTTTCACTTCAATTTTTCCGTGGTTCTCATACTTTTGAAGAGCAACAAGTGACAGACCAAAGTGGTGAGTGACAAATGGTGAGGGTGCAGTGCGCGACGTTGATTAGGCGCCTATCACTAATTTAAACCATATCGCAAATCAAAAGGTCTAGTATTTAAGTGGAAAAGAATAGAAGAATTTGCTTATTATTCAACAAGTTTCTAATCATGCGCCAATTATATCAAAGAAAACTGATAATGAGTTATCATTGTAAGATAACATAAGGGAGGGACGTCGTAATGTGATCAATTGTTCTTTTTTCATTCTAAACCCCCAACTTACGAGAGATTGGAATGGACAAAGCAATCCCATAATTTAGGGATTGGGTTAAGCAAATACTATGAACTACATTTATTGGAATCAAGAGAAAACAGTTGCGATTAACTATGATTTGTTCTTTTATAAAAATGAAGACTACCGAATGTTGGCTGCTGCAATTTAAGGTAACCAACCAATCATTTATATTCCTATAACCAAATTAGTTCTTTAATTGATTAAGAACCTCTCATTTGCTGTGTCATCTGAAAGTAACAAGGTCTTTTCTGTCTGAGATTGCAATAGCATGACTTAAACATAAAGCTACCTACCATTCATGAGGGCGTCACAAAGCATTGACATTGAGCGTTAGACATAGATATTGCTGAACCAAATGTAAGAGTTAGTCATGGCACGTAAGAGAGGAAAAGAATTTGAGTTGAAACAATAAAAGTCGCAAACATCATTAATTTAGAGCCTGTTTGGATGGGCTTGTTGTAAGTGACTTTTAAGCCAAAAGCCATAAGTTAGGAATTCTAGCTTTTGGCTTATTTTTATCATTTTAGCTTAAAAACAAGTGCTTAAAAGCACTTTTTTACTTTATCCAAACACTACAAAATGACTTAAAAGCTATTTTGGCTTAAAAGCACTTAAAATAAGCCACAATCCAAATGGGCTTAGTCTGGCTTATTAATAAGAGTGTATGGGAAGACATGCTATATTTCCATTAGATTACTGTGACCATCGATGCAGGTCGGTGTTCACTAATAAGAGTATGGGAAGGCATGCCATATTTCCATTGGATTAGTGTGAACACCAACGCACGTACTTACGCTCAGAAGTATCAACACCAAGACAAACAATATAACCTTGGCAATTGAAATTTAAGCGAATATAGATACAACTCAAACATAGTTAAGCCAAAAGGGGTCATTTGGTTGGTGGGAAAAAGAATAACAATTCCGAGATAAAAAGCAGGATTATTGTATCCCGCATTTAATTATGGGTATTACTTGGTCCCGAAAACCATTTTGTACTAAAATGGTGGGATTAACTATATCTCACCCCATGGAATATCCATGTCTATACCATCCCACCAACCAAACGACCCCTAAGTGTGTTTATACAAGACACATATCTTACATTCATTGATTTGATGTAAACGTTAGGCATGATTAAGTTTTCACCATTTAGCATGCTTCGATTTTTTGGTATTAGTTAATCTATGTCCACTAATACCAAAAAATCAAAGTATGTTGCAAGGATAAAAACTTACATACATCTAATATTTACACCAAACCAATAAATGCAAGACATATGTCTTGCATACACACACTTCTCAATTAAATATGTTTGAATAATATGTATTTTCACTTAAATTTTTGACTTCTCACTACAATTCAAGTCATCTAACGTCCCTTCTTAATATTCCTTTCGGCTACAAAACAGGGAAAAGGGTTACCTTGGCCTTCCAGAGGTCAGGTTCTCCCTCAAAAGATCCAATCACAGGGTTCAGAGAAAACCAGTAATCAACAAAATATTAACAACAATATGCATGCGTTTCAAAAGGTTATATAAACTCGAATAGAAGATGAATTTACAAAACTGTGACCAGCACATCATTCTTGACACAAAATTAGATCTGAATTTCAGGCATTTACAACAGGAATGAGCCAACTAAAGACACTAACCTGAGATTATACACAAATTAAATCTTGAATAAAGACAGAAAACAATTTAAGTGAAGGAGAAAAGGATGAAGTGGGAGAAAACAAAAGAAAGTACTATGGGACAGCAGCACAAAACAAGTAAGCACCCTTTTTGCTGCCCCCCCCCCCCC